GCAGGTCGTCTTTCTCTGCCTGCTCCTCAGCATACATGGTACACAAATCGCCACCCCAGCCTTGGAGTCTGCTTGACCTCTTAGTCCCAGGGCTCAAAAGCATCAGTGACTCTCAGCAACAACTCCCTTTCAAGAGAAAACCTGACTGGCCCAACTCAGAGGTCAGATGACCACTCCTAACCCAATCAGTTTTGGCCGGGAGAGTCATGTGACGACACCACCATGGCTGCATCTGAGAAGGGGCCAGGGATGGGCGTTCACCCTACGATGCAGCTTTTACAGCAGGACAGAAGTGCACGGTGGGAAGAGCACTCATGAGGAGTCATGGGATTGAGTCTCCTATTAGCTCCCGTGGAACAACAAGTGACCTGGGGCAAGACACTCCCCTCGCTGGGTCTCAAATGCCCATCTATAAGATGAGGAGTTGGATAAGGTGTTCTGTTAAGAACACTTCTAGCCCCCAAACTCTATGATGTTCTATTTACAAAACAGGCATGGAGACCAGGAAAAAGAGAGAAGGACATGGAAAGTGACCAAGGAGAATATTGAGAAAAGAGAACACCAGTTGGTAGAATGTCTTCAGGGCAGGGGGTGAGGGTGGGGGGGCTGTCATTCCCTATGCAACAGAGGTGGACCAATGGTTCCTGAAGTTCAGTGTGCCTCACCTGCAGAGCCTGTTGTAGATGCACATTCCCAGGCCTGTCCCAGGTGGTCTGATTCAGCAAGTCACTCAGGTGACTGTAATGCAAGTGGTCTCAGAACCACCCTCTAGAAATGCTGAGTGGGACTTTTCAAAGGGTTAGAGCTGCCTTAGGAGGAACTGGGCTTCCTAGGAAAGGTAATGATCTCCCCAACTTTGGGGGCATACAAGAAAGGCAGGGCTGCTCTGAATGACCTCAGCCATCCCTTCTTGCCTGTTGTTTCTCCAACAATCTGAAATTCAAACACAATCAAGACTGCACCGGGAGCTCAAGACCTAAGCAGCAAAAGGTTTCAGCCTCTTCCTCAAGCTGCTTCTCCGGGCCTCACTCATTTAAACTAGAGGCCATGGATGTTGTGTCCAGATAAGGAAAAGGAAGACACTAGGGCCAACTCTGCCTCTCCCCTTACAGCTCCTGGACTTGTAAAGACTGGATTCGGGATCAATGGGAGTCTCTTCCAGATACTCTCTTTAGCTTGTACTCACTCATCTTCAGAAATGAGTAGGATCTGAGAAGGAAGAAGGAGTTCAACCCTAGACTCTGCCAGGAGGCCCCAGATTCTGAAGCCAGAAGATTAGAAGAACGGCCACCCCAGGTCCTCCCCAGTCAGGGCTGGAAGATAAAGTACTGCCTCCTTGTTGACACCTGTCAAATTACTCCAGCTCTCCATGCATCTTCCTCCTCTGAGGTTCCATAGCCTATGGGCTAATTGGGTCTCAATTAGCACCTGGGATCCTATGTGGTTGGGGAGGACCCAGACACCTGGAAATTGAATACTTTAACAGAGGGCTCAAGAATTCACAATGTACTTTCGCACCAACTATCCATTTAATCTTCTCAGTACTCTTGTGGGGCTGGTTGGTTGTGTATCGGATGGGGAAACAGAGGTTCTGAGAGGCGAGGCTGGTGAGAGGCAGAGCTGGAGAACACAGGTCTCCACCTCTCTCTTCCTTTCACGTCCCCATTCCTCCAGGAAAGCCCTGGCCTGGAGAGGTGGAGGGACCACGCCACCTGGTCAAGGCAGGAGCTGGGACCAGGAGAAAGTGAGCTGTCACCGTAGCAAGTGGACAGAGCAGTGCACTTATTAAGCAGATGGCTCTGTCTCAGGAGGGAAGGGAGAAGTGACCAGGTGGGATGGAGACCTTGGAGAAAGGGGAGGCAGCTAGGCAGAGGGGAGGCCAGGGGATTTGGGTGTCAGGACACCTGGAACCTATGTGTTTGACCTGCAGCAAGTCTCTGCTTCTCCCCAGGCCTCAGTTTCCCCTTCTCTACTTTGGTGGGGTTAGAATCCACGGTTTCCTGGTCCCATCCTTCTCTGGCTTTTGGGGCTTATCCCCCACAGGCTGCCTCCCTGACTCTCCACCCAGCCACTAGCAGCCGAGGGCCAATGCGACCCAGAGACCACAGCAATTCCCGGGACTTTCAGGTCAGCTCTGGTTCTGCCCCATCCCACCCCAACCCCCACAGCCACCCAAAGTTTCCTGGAAGCCTCAAAATTACCTGATGTCAAGGTGGATGGCAACGCTGCAAAAAAGCTGCAGTGATCAGGACTGACCAGAAGGGGGAGACAAACGCCCTGGAAACCTAAACAGTTATACTTGCTGAGTTTTTATTTCTAAAGATACGGGTGCCGAAACTAAGCTGCAAGGGCAGTAAGAGATGTGGGGAAGGTCTCCCATCTGTACAGTGGCAGGGCTGGGAACCAACCCCCCTCTCCTGCCCCTGGGGCCAGCAAGTATCCTTCTACCCCACTCTCCTCTCTGCGTATGCCACAGGATTCTGGTCAAGCCAAGTTCACTCCAAGATGCTCTGGTCTAGTTATAGCTCATCAACCTAACACTTTAGGTTGATGGAGGCTGGGGAGGGCCCTGAGGGAGACACAGTGAGCCTTCACCTGGTTGGGCTCGGGGCTTGCATGTGTTTCACGTGTGGCTGAGCAATATGGTCAAACGCTCATATCTGATGCTCTCTCCCGCGCCACCCACCGCCCCAAGCTGTGTTGACTTTGGGCAAGTCTCTTAAGCGCTCTAGACCTGTTTTCTACTGTAGAAGGATGATACCACAGACCTAAGGGGTTGTCCGGGGCGTTACACTGAATAATTGAGAAGAGCTCTGAGCACCATAACTGTGGGGTAGCAGGTACTCAGTAAATATGAGGGCTGTGTTGTTGCTAGGACGCTTGTGTCCAAAATGACCTAAATTTAGACATGAACACAACACAAGGATGAACACGAAAGGCTTGACGAGTGTGCATGGACAACTTCGTTCTGTGACAGTCCTCCTTCACTCCCTCTCCCCCGACTGCCCTTTCCCCAATCTCTCCTGGGCTCCTGCTCCAGGCTCCCGTGTCAGCTGGTCTTGCAGTTAATTGAAGCATTTCTTCTTCTTTTGCTTGGTGATCATCTCCTGGTTCTGTGTGACAAGGAGAGGAAAAGTCAGACCTTGCCAAGGAGACGAGGCAGGAGGGAAGTGGCAGGACCTGCATGGCCAGAGCACGTGCGAGCCCCCAGGGAGGTCATGGGGGTCCCAAGCCAGACCTCAGACTCTGCTTCTTCACACCCTAAATTCCTCCAGAAATCAATTGCCTTTCCCTGCTGTTTCCATTTCCCTCTCCACTCCAGGTGAAACGCCCTCATCCCTCCATGCCTCGGACCCTCTCCTGTAGATTTTTCAGGACCCAGCCAGAGAACTTTCCATCTCCCCACAACCCAGGCCAATCCCTACCTTCCTGCACAGGATTCTATGGTATCTGCTTCGCAGGAATAGATGTTTCTCCAGAGATACCCGAAGCTTCCTTCTGGAGAAGGAGCTGGCACTTTCTCCCCTTGTCCCCTCCATAATGCCCTGCTCAAGGCCAGGAACTCAGGCTGCTTAGGGCAGGGAGCACTGTGCTAGGAGTCAAGAGACCCTGGTCTGACGTCTGGCCCTGCTCTGACACCTGACACTAGGCACTCCCTCCGACCACCCCGGGGTTTTATCAGCCCTTCAGTCAGAGCCTCTCCAATGAGGTCATTTCTGCCCTGAGATTTAGCAGCCCTGGAGACCAACCCCACTCTGCTCTGACTCTCAATATGACCTCTGGCAAGTCCCTTCCCCCTTCAGGACTCAGTTTCCCTGGTGTTCTCGGTGTGCTGCGAGTCCAAGACCACAGTCTGGTGCCTCTTGTCGGCACTCGTGCAGGCTCCTCATCACTGCTGCTGCTGTCACTCTCGCTGCCCTTGTCCTCCTGCCAGGGAGACACGAGGTCAGTGTGGGGGCCCTGGGGCTGGGCCAGGTTCTCCCACAGTATCTGGAGTGCCCCCTGCCTTCAGGGGACCCCCGCTCTCGTCCAGACCCTCAGCTAGGTGTGGAATATGCACAGCGCACCAAACAAGATGAGTCATCACGGGAAGGTGTGCTGAGGATCAGTGATGGGGAAGAAATACAACCTGGGGCAGTAAAGACCAGCAAAGAGGACACTGCAATGGAGAGACATAGATTTTACTTCAAATTCTGACACTAGCTTCTAGAAGTCTCTGACCTTGAACTGTAAATGGCTGCTATGAGATTCTTTCCAGAGAGCATGGTAAAGGTGGAAGGAAGAAGAGAGTCCTTGGGCACTGAGAGGCTACAAGGGGAGGATAGAGGAGGAAGAAGCAACCGGAGAAAAATGGTGTGGTGGCATCTAACTTTTCCTACTTTACGACTTCTCCAAGAGCTGCCCAGGGCAGAAGGCAGTTCTATCAATTAATCTGCTTCTTCACAAGCTTCAAAGAGAAGTTTGTTCGAAAAGTAAATTTCCAGGGGAAAAAGAGAATGCTATTTGGGAATGCTGCTGCTTAGACATGAGACTGAGACAAATGACTCTTAGATGAGCTAGGACCGTTCCCCTCACAGCTAAGGTGGGGCTGGAGAGGCCTCTGGAGGAGAGGTCCTCAGTCTGGGGACAGGAACAGCATCCTCTAAACCACCACCGCCCTACGAAGCCCACAGTCCCTTTTCCCAGACCTCTCAGCCCTACTCAGTAATTTATGTAGGTGGGTTTTGAAGCTACTCGTATGGCCATTTAACATTGATTTGCCCATTCACAAAGCACTCAAGTCACTTCACAGTTGGCCAGCGGCTTCAACCCCGAGTCCTCCTATCTCTGAGCAGAGAAAGCTCCTCCTCATCCCAGGAGCTGAAATCTGCCTGCCAGAAGCAGCTCAAACCCGGACAGCACAGTCACCCCAGGGAGAGTCTCCCTCCGGGCTGCTGGCTGTGACCTGGGCCAGCCTCATTTCCAACTGTTCTGACCCAGCGGGGGTGCGGGAACCTCACCATCTGCTCCGCCTTCTGCTGCTGCTCCTCACACAGCTTACTCTGCAGCTTCCCCTTCTCTGTATGCTGCTCCTTCTCTTTGTCATCGTCTTTGCTAAACCCTGGAGGGGGTAGTAAAGGGACAACACACTTAGCTGAGAGGCTGACTTGACAGCGTGACCTGAGATTCTCAGAGTCAGCTTCCTCCTCAATCCTCCTCTCCCCGCCCCACCCTTCTTGCACATGCACAGTTTTTTCAGCTTTCTCAAAGCACTTTCACATCTGTTATTCCATTTGAGCCATACTGCCATTTTCAGAAGTGGGTAGGGAAAGGATTATGAACCCATTTTACAGAGAGGGAAACTGAGGTCCAAAAAGGAAAGCGGCATCTCTAAAAACATACAAGAGGGGCTGGCCCGGTGGCATAGCAGTTAAGTGCGTACACTCCGCTGCGATGGCCCCGGGTTCGCCGGTTCGGATCCCGGGCACGCACCAACGCACCGCTTGTCAAGCCATGCTGCGGCGGTGTCCCATATAGAGTGGAGGAAGATGAGCACGGATGTTAACCCACCACCAGTCTACCTCAGCAAAAAGAGGAGGATTGGCAGATGTTAGCTCAGGGCCGATCTTCCTCACACACACAAAAAAAGACATACAAGGAAATTGGCGCCATGGTAGAGCTAGAATCTGAGATTGCTTCCTGCCATCCAGGGTCCTTTCCCAACCAAGCAGGGCATGATTACTGATGTGGGAAACATCCCAGCTCCCCCATCAACATTCACTGGTGGCCCTATAGTTAAGTACTTCCCCAGGAAAGACCTGGAGCCTCTGCCAAGGCCTGCATAGGCAAGGGTCAGCCTTTGGGGCCCCTGTGGGCTGTGGGAATGGATGCATGGGTGCCTGGTGTATGTGATGACAAGTGAGTGTCCATGTATGATGTATGTGCATATGGCACACATGAACTTGTCCATTCAAACTTTAACAACTCACAGAGGTAAGTGAGTGGCCATTTCTGCTCATGGCATGGCCTCTGACCCCAGTATTTTGGGTCTGTGGCTCCAGATTTCCTAATAGACTATTTTTTTCCTGTAAATCCTGATTCAGACCTCTGGTGACTTGGGGGAGAGTTTCCTGCTGAGTTGGCCCCTTTTCCTACCACTCCCCAAGTCACAGTCCCCTGAAGACATGCCCAGGATACAGAAAAAAAAATCCCACGTAAGCAGGAACTCAGGAACTCACACTTTAGGACAGAATCCATCTTGACTGAGATTTCTTACTTCTGTGCACACCAACCTGAGAACAAATAGAATGACAGCAGCTGGCATCTTCCTGGCACTTTACAGTTTACAGAGCGTGTTTAAGGACATCTTCTTCTATGATGAGCACATCAGCCCTATGAGGTCCACATTGTTAGCCCATCAGACAGATGAGGGAATGGATGCCCAGGGAGATGAGAGAAATTATCCAAGAACCCACAGGGAGTCAGTGATCACACAGAGTTTCCTTTGCCTAAATGCTAAGATATCTCCTGACAAAAGAAGGAGATGGGTGAGGTGGAGACCCAGGGTGGGCTACAGAATAAGGACCCTTTGACAATCAATAGACCCTCCTTGTTTTCCTATTCTCTGTCTCCCTCGGCAAGGCCTTGGCCTCAAAGAGGCCACAAGCCTGTAGGGCTCCCATGCTCTGCCAGATCCCCTCACAGGGAGGGTGCCTGTGGCCCGGGGAGCACAGGCTTCAGAGCCCTGCAGTCTGGACACCTTGTTTCAGAGCAGCAGTCAGGACCGTAAGGCCTACCCTCCATTCCTCATGACTCCATCCCCGCCCTGCTCCAACAAGAGCAGCTCTGCTGGATGAGCAAATGTGTTCCTTCTCAGCCTTGGGCTCATGATGCTCTCCCAAGAACACTGACACCTCCCCTCCTGCCACCCCTGCCAGAAAACTTGCCAGAGAAGCAAAGAGGAGGCAGATCAGAGAGAGCCGGGCTTTAAAAATGGGATTTCAGAATGTGAAGACTGGAAAGGATGGTTGTGTAGATTTGAAACCTGAGGCCCAAGGGGGCAGGGACTTGCTCAGAATCTGTTGGGGGGTTAGAGGTAGAACTGGGGCTGGAACCCAGGTCCTGAAACTCACCCCCACGACCTCTGGCCAGGCATCTGCTCAGCCCCCTGGCATCCCCTGATCACAGGAACTGGTTTTCACGGACCCTTGACTTACCAAGGACTCCATTCCTCCTCCCCAGGGATTCTGCCCTCTGATTTGGGGACCACTCCGCCTGGATTTGGAAGGAGGCACCCACCCAGAGAGAAGGGGAAATGAGTTTCTAAAAGCCCAGCCAACTCAGGGACATAGATGCTCCCTTCCAATGCACATTTGAAAGGAATGCACATCCTGGTTGCATAATTCTCAAGTCTCCCTGCCCATCAAAGGCTGGAGGAATTGAACTTTCTCTGCTTGGCCCTAGTGAATAGAATTAGGACCAGTGGGTGAAATTTATACAGAGGCAGATTCCAGCTCACGTAAGGAAAAACTTTCATATAGTCAGAGCTGTTCTAAAATGGAATAGGCTGTCTCCTGAAGTGGTGAGCTCCCCAACACTAGAGGCAACCAACCTGCTAGAGATATTATGGAACAGAGTTCCTCAAAGTATAGCCCACCTGCATCAGCGTGAATTCTTAAAGAGGCAGATTCCCAGGACCCACAAGCCCTACCCGAATCAGACTCTGAGTGTGGGCCCAGAAATCTACCTTTTTAACAAGCCTCGAAGTGATTCTAATGTAGAATTCTGACTCACAAATGAATGTTTGAGAATTTCTACTCTAGAAGAATACTGGATAGGATTTGTTCCCTTTCATCTCTGAAATTCTGTGATTCTATCATTCTATGAAATACTTATCTTCCCTGGGTATTTGTGTTGTATAAGGGGCATCCTAAAGACAAATTACTTTTGAGTTAGAAAGTCACGACTCCATGATGGAAGACAATTGACAGAGATGTTTGGCGGGAGGCGGACCACAAAGGCCCTGTTGATCCTCTCTGCTCCTCTACCCAGTACTGACCTGAAGTGACAGCCTAATATTGCAGATCCTTGGCTATTTAAGACTCAGTGGTCCCATCCAATTTCATCTCAACTCCCTTGTATCGCAGGCCCAAACTCCTTAGATGTAGCAGGAACCAAGAACGAGAACAGAGGAAAATATCCACTTACCGTTCTGGAGCTGGAGGGCAAACTGCTCTGTCTGTGCTGGGCTAGCAGAGGTTTTCTGGGGCTCTCGTTAAGATTTTATAGTCTCTATTCTTCCTGTTTTCAGCCCTGAAGTGGACAAACTGGTTGTCCAAATGTTCTCAGGCATCACAATCTGATCCTAACAAATGTTTCCAGCCAAAGCCTGGGGCTCAAGGCCATCCTGTCCCTCCCCACCCCCACCCTTGATCTCCCTGTCAGCTGCAGGCACACCCTCCATACACTGTGGACACATTCTGTGCCAGCCTTGAAAATGCTCTCCCCTCACACCCAATAATGCACCTTCTAGGAAATAATCACTTATGTGTTCAAAGGTGTGTGTAAAATGGTATCAATTCTAGCATTATCAAAATAATAGAGCTAACAGAACAATATTAGCTAACTCATGTATAGTACTTATTTCATTCATTTCCTAAATGCTATTTTTATATTAATTTATTTAATCCTTACAATAACCCACAAGCCATGTACTATGATTATCCCCAGTTTAGAACCTGATAAATTGCCTTTCAGTAACTCTTGTTTTAGACAACCTGAGTGTCTAAAAGTGGGGGATTGGTCAAATAAATTACAAAGCTTCCTTAAAATGGAATTTTATGAAGCTATTATAAATAAGGTTAAAAAATATTTAAAAAGCCAGAAATATGCTCATAATGTTTGGTAATATAAAAAGCACAGGAAATGCAACTATATTCCATATGACTGACTTTTGGGTGAATGTGCACATGAAAGAAAAAATCCTATGGGGAGGTCCTTGGCAGGGAAGTCTTTCTGGAAGAGGCTGGCACTGAGCCGGGTTCAGAAAGCTATGTAAGGGGCTGCAGAGGGGTTGGCTCCCCGACGGGAGCTGCGTGAGCTGTTGCCACTCACAATCCCCAGGTGACATAAGAAGACCCAGCGTGGGCACTGAACTTGAGATGCTCGGCACTGACTAAGAGTCTAGAGATCACCGTTTGCTTCTGACTCTGTTGCTAACTCCATGGAGAACATAGCCAAGTCCTGTCTCCTCTCTGGCCTCAGTTTCTCCATTTGTACAAAGGTGATTATAACACCTTTCCTGACTCTCCTGTGAGCCAGGCTGCAGATGCAAAGTCCAAGTGAAGGCTTGAGCTCTGGGATTCCTAAGATGACCTGTGAGCAAAGCTGGGCCTCTCTCCACTGACCATTTACTGAGTCCTTACTACGGGCCAGAGACTATGCTAAAGGCTTACCCGCACATTCAGTGCCAGCTTCACCGGCTTGTGACCAGTACAATCACACAAGGCCCACACTCAGAATGGCCTACAACTTGGGGTTCAATGCTCTGTGGTCACCATTTTGAAAAGCCTAATAATTTTATCTTTGAATTTAGCTCATGTAAGCAAAATCAGACGAGACAATGAAACGTGCTGGGGGTTTGGAGCCTCGGCTCACGCCTGGCCCAGTTCACTTAGTCTCGGAGTGGGGCCCCAGGCACCCGTGAGGGTCTGCACTCTCCCGGCAAGTATCCCTGTGCCTAAGGGAGTATAACATTCAATAGCAAATAAAAAACATCTTGACAGCCAAGAGAGGGACTGTGGAAGAACGTACAAAGCTTTATTCTTGCTTTTTGCACAAGAAACCCCACATTTTTATTTTGCACCGGAGACTGCAAATTAAGTAGCCAGCCCTGGAGAAGTCCAAGACATCCCTATAAGGAATGTGTTCATTCTATACCATTTCACAGGTGAGGAATTTGGGCTTAGAGGGTACCTTGCCCAAGGTGACACTGCTGGAAGTAGCTTAGGCATAATTTGAACCCAGATCGATTTGACCCCAGAGCCTGTGGTCTTCACACTGCACTGTGGGAAATCAGGCGACTGCATGAGTGGGGAGCCCCTCCAGAGCAGTAACTCCTGCTGCCCTCCAACCACAACCAAGGCTGTCACGATTCACACCAGGGTTAGCATCTCACCTGATGGAGAAGGCAGAGCCCCACTGGAGGCTGTGAGGGAATTAGGAAAGCCCTCACAGCTTGAAATACTCTTCTGTCAGCTGAGAGGTGCTTGCCTGATCCACTAGGACCAGGGTTTCATCAGATCATGTGAGATTTCACTCTCTGGAGGAAGCTGAGTGGGCCTCAATAAAAACCCACAGGAAGCACATTGCAGCAATGCCACCTACAAGCTGAGTGACTTTGGACACTCCTCTTGACTCCTCCAGACCTCAAGTGCCCCACCTTAAAATGGCAGTGGAAATACTTAGGTGGAAGTTCTTTACAAATGGAAGGTGGTACAGTTATCATTAGGCACCAGCTGATTTTGCCCGCATTGGCAAGTACTGACCAGAAGTCGGCTGGTTTTTACTGTATTGATGATTTGTTTATGCAAAAGCTGATTTATTATGGGCACTGGGGAATAGAAATGTGAGCAGCTGCAACCTCTGTTGGAGGGTAGCAAGAAAGAAGCCTCAAGAGAAGCCCAGAGGAATATCATTTAGCCTCCCAAATGCTGGTTCAAGATCCCAGGTCCTTTCCTGCCTGCACTCTCTGCATTAAATCTCTAAGCCAAACTCATTATTCACAAAATGGATGGGGGTGGGGTGGGGAACTGAGGTCCAACATGCAGCTTTGACTCCGGGATGAAGGAAATAAGCAGCATCTAGCAGGTTCAAACTGGTTGGAACGGCTAGAATGAAGCTTGGTCACGGGTGTACTTCACGCCGCGAACACGCTCCATGCCCCCTGACGCACTCTCACACTCACAAGCCAGAAATTCAGGATTCCTTAACCAGGAAACACGACCACAGACGGGAACATGAAGGACAGGGGAGCAGATTCTGGACTGGTATTGTGTTCCAAGGGCTTTATCACCTTAATCCTCACTCTGGGAGGTAGGTATTACTACTCACATTCCACAGTGGAGGAAATAGTCTCAGAATGGTAATCATTTACTCAAGAATATCTTTTAACATTCTAGGCCTTACGGTGCCTATTCTCCTTAAAGTGCTATCATATACACTATCTTAAGAGATGCACAAGATGTCACGAGGCAAACAGAGGCAGATGTTGTTATTCCCATTTTACGCGTGAGGAAACTGAGACTCCAAAAGAAAAGCTAAAGCATGAAGGCAAGAAGCCCAGTTTCTCCACTCTTAGGCTCCACGAGGTCCCACAGCTTCACCACGAAGACAGACACAAATCTGGCTTGAGGAATATCAGGAAGCTTTTTGGGTCTCATAATAGCCTCTGACATCTCAGAGTCATAATCCTCAGAGCTCACATTTATGGAGTGATTACTATGGCCAGGCCCTGTGCCAACCACATGTGTACATGACCTCATCCAACTCTGTGAGGCAGGTGCCACTCCCATTTTACAGATCATGAAACTGAGGTGCAGAGAAGTTGAACAACTCACCAGATTACGCAGCCAGCAGGAGGTGGAGCCAGGATGTCAACTGAGACTGTCTGCCTCCAAGGCTCACCGCTGCTCTTAAAACATTTTGCTGTTCTGCCTCCTCAGGGGAAGTGAGCAGGGAAAGGCCTGCAAGCCTGAGTGGATTTTAAATGGCCACTGACAGTTGATGGAACTACTCTAGGTGGCAGTGTTCCCTCACCACAGTTCCACGTGAGCGGCCCTCTTTTTAAGCCATGCCAACCCTGAAGTTATAGGAGAACCAAGAACCACCCAAAGGTCTCCTCCTTAAACACAAGGAACCAGGAGATGTGGAAGAATAAACCTCAGCAGTATGTTTGTGTTTGTGTATTCTGCTGTGTATGCTCTCTCCTCTCACACGGGGTCTTGGTATCTCTCTTCCATCTTGGCCTTGAGTGCTTCCTGGCCTGATTTCCTTTCTACAGTTTCTTAACAGCACCCATTGGTTTTCCAGGTGGACTTTATGTGAACTTGAATGAGCCAGCACACAAATATTTTGTCTTCCCACTGCCTGTATTCAAGGTAATCAAAAGAGACAGGCTATCATATGATTCAACCAACAAGACTCTTTAGAGACTCTAACTCTACTGGAGAGAAAGGGCTTATTTTTCACATTCAATCAGGATATAACGGAAGTCCTAAGTCAGTCACAGCCCTTTGAAGGGTGAAAAATCACTCCGTTACCCTCTCTCCCACAACCTGCCCAGGCTTATCTTCTTCCCTGCAGGGCAAGACTGCTAGTTCTTAAAGTATTTCTTTAGTGCCCCCGGTTAAGTTCAGGTCAGAATTAGCTAATTGGCCCAGCATCCATTTCAGCCACAGAGAATCCAAACTCCTTGGCCCAATCTCCTCTTTTTATGGCTGAGAACCAAGAAGCAATTAGTGCAGTGGTTATGAACACAGGCAGAGCAGGGGGTGAATCCACTCCACAGCCTCACACTGTGTGACCTCAGGCAAATGTCTTAACCTCTGAAGGCCACAAGTGTCCTCATCTATAGCTAGAGATAAGAACAGTTCTAGCTTTGCGGGGCTATTGTGAAGACAAACAGAATAATGTTTTTAAAACGCTCAGCACAGTGGCCTGGCACACAGTACCCACTCAGTTAATATTAGCTATTATCATTATTAAGATTAATAAATTGAAAGTGTCTCCCTATAAATCCTGTGAGTTAGGGGCTGACCCAGAATTAGAACCAAGCTGTCCTGGATAGCTCCTGTCAAAACCTTTGATTATAAATGGATTTCATCTAATTTGTAATGCTTCTTTCACCTCTTTGATACAGGATATGACTTGAATGATGCTGGAAACAGAATTCTATAAACATCTTTTCCACTACATCGGTGGATTTCATTGAAGAATGATGGATCAGAATCACACAGGAAACTTTCTCAAACCCCTTCTGCACTCCTCTCACCCCACTCTGAAATCTGCTACCAAAGTACCTGCTTATCAAGAGGAGACAAATAGAACCACACTTGCCACCATTGCTGCTTCCAAGTGTCTGTGATAGCAACGTTCACATGGGAGAGAGGCCTCTAAGTTTTTGCTAAATCCAGGAAATGGGCAACGTTTCTTGACTCTTTGGTTCCCTTGGCCCAAAGCCCTCCTCCTTTCTTTTTTTTTTTTTCTAATTGAAATAGTTATTGAGAT